GGTGGGGAGACCCTACCCTTTAGGTGGGGAGACCCTACCCTTTAGGTGGGGAGACCCTACCCTACCCTCCATTCTTTCGTGTTCCCTCTACTCCCTCGTGTTCCCTCTACTCCCACCCATGCTGAGTTGTATATTTCGAATTAATTCCATGAGGGGTTCCAGAGCATCGCCGACCGAAGAGCCATCTTCCTTGGTTGCGACGTTGTCAGTGAGTCTCTTGGGTTGCGGTGAACGATGCGCGAGCTTGGAGTCCCAATGTTCGCCTACCGACAAGTTCTCACCAGTCCGATCCCCAAGCCGCGACGAGGAACTCGGATTGCCACCGGCTCTTGAAGACTGCGTGCGTCTGAACTGGGGTCTGGAGCATCGTATGACCCCTTGTGTATATATATCGATCGGATTGCAATGCGCTTCAAAATTGAGCCAGAACAAAAGACTGATTCTACGTTCCGTGGATCAGATCCAGTTCCGTAAAACGAGTTCGGAAATTCGTGTGGAAATAGATCCGTGTTATGATCAGTATCCGATAATGGCAATCGGCCTAAGTCGAACAAGTTTATTGGAACAAGTGTTATGCAAATTGGCTACCTATGTGACCGATTTGTCGGAGCAAGACACGCCTCTTCGGGAGAATAATACGCGGTCGACGCCACCTAAACTTTGGCAAAGGAACGCCGCACAGGTGTGCGACGAGCTTGTGTTGTCGGAGAAGCCGAAGACCCTGGAGGCGATTGAGAGCGAATTCGACGCCGCGTACACCAAATTAATGCACCCTGCTGGACACTGGCGAGGCGTCGATAGGCCCCGACTGAACGAAGCACACGAGGTCGGCGTCCTGGCTTGGCCGCGCGGCACTGTCTGTTCCGGCTGTCGTCCGCAGGTGAAGACCGACCTACGCATTCAAACCAAAACCCAGCTCCCCGCGTCCGAATCTTCGACGGTGAAATTTTTGGCGGTGAAGCCTTCGGCGGATGTCGGAGGTTCGGCGGCGGCGAAATATTCGGCCGGTTCCATTTCCGAGTGGTCCCGTTTAGCGGCGACGGCGGCGGAGCAAATCCGCGAACAGGCGTGTGCGCTGGGATTGAAGACGTTCAATTTGCGTAGCTCGCAGATGTGGAAGCCTTGGGGGGAGGGGGAGGTGAGCGACATGCGAGCGCAGGCGGCATTGGAGAATATGTTCGACCAAGGCGGAATAGTCCGGTTAGATGCGTTGTTGCAACGCCATCGACTAGCACCAAAATTAACCGACAGCCTGGTGCGACAACTTCTCAGACGCCTCAAAGACATCAGCGATCACTGCTGCGTCGGCTCCTACGCCCAGGTCTACGTTGGTCTTCAACGACGTGATGATGAACAGACAAAACTCCGCATCGTACTCGCACCCGTCTGCCTCCTGGCCACCTCCAAGACATCTGCCATCCAAATCAACGAACAGTTTCTCCGCCAATTTAGGTCAGATGCAGGCTACTATGTCACGCAATAACCGCACATACACACACAACAACTGTACTGACAACCCACTTCCCATCAGGACATAAACCTGCCACATCGTAACTGCTCAGTAGTCGATATCTACTGTGCGGTATCTCGTCTGTCTATTGACACCAGCGCTTCCAACCAACTGCCAGACAATGGCTTGGTCAAAACCGTAAATAGTATTTTTTTATTGCTCCATTCTAACTACCGATAATAGCCCCGATGCCGACCATACAAACCCGGCCCCCGGGCGGCATCTTAATTAACTGCCGTTCCCGGGGTTTCCGTCCAGTGCCCGTGGGT